CTGTACGTACGAGTTATATACTATTTTCACTATTTTACATGTGAAATTTGAATGCTTTATTCCTATTCTTCTCTGCTGGTGTAGCACCGTTTTCCCCTTCTGGGAACAATGAAGATCATCTTGTATCACCCTGTCTCTTCAGGCATACACAGACAGTATAGCTAGATAACTGACATTCAAGATAAAATAAGGAGAAGCTCTGCTACACAAATTCTATGCAAAACACTAAGACAAAGTACAGGATGTGCTTCTAGTGATCCCACCACTGGCCTGTGTTGTGAAAACCACCCATTTCACTGGCATGTTATGTGCAACCACGTTACAGGCAAGGTTAATGAAAAGCAGGCTAAAGATGTATACAAAACAGAGGAATTGGAGCAAGGTGGTGGGGGGTGGTTGCATTGTAACTTCACTAACACCATATGTCTCAGAGTAGACGTGAGAGCTAGCTCAGCAGAATGAATGACATAACACACAGAGAGTCTTAAACTTCCAATGTTTACCTTGATAATGCTGCTCCTGCGTGGTATTTCGGATTTGGCATCCAATCCGACAGAGGTGTTGGCGGTTTCCACCCCGGCTTGGCTGCCAGGTGCGACGACAGACCCCGAACCGACCATATTTTCTGATATCCCACAGTCTCCATTCAACACCGACACTTCGCAATGCGTCTTGCCAGCAGCTTCGTCGCTGGGCACGGCCGTATCCCCAAGATTCAATGGAGGCAGGCTGCTGTCCTCCCCAAACTCCGCCATAGGCACTTCAAGCACCACACACACAACACAACAACACACACACACACACAAGCTGTTTGGTAGCAAAGCCTTATGTTTCAGCTTTACTCCAATTTCCTGCCTGGCCTATTGCCTCGTTGTAACATTTGCACGCAATTCTGCCATATCATCTCTCGGTGCACATATCTACCAGGTTCCTACAGACAGAGGGGCTTGTTCCGTGCATTGTTCTGTCTCTCTGTAACAGAAAAAAAGAAACCCACAGCGATTAGCATAATTAGGCAACCTGACGTTAGTAACAGCAGTTGCGTTAATAGTAGCAGCTATTGTAGCGATGTGCAGCCGTATGAAAGCGTTCAGCACTCACATTGCGTTTTTGCACTGAAAGCGGATGTTAACTTACAATCAGTGAAGGCTGTCACCGTAAATGCAGCATGATACAAAAAGGGGGAAAAAAACGCATACGTGCTTCCCTTATGTGTTCCCTTTTTTTTAAAATTATTTTTGTTTTTTAAAAGCACATTTCCACCGTTTTCCATCCCCTAAACAGACCAACCCCTCACTATGTTGCATTGTACCGTAACCCACCCTCAGTGTTAGCGGTGGTCGGCAACGTTAAGTTAAATAAACACTAAAAGCATGTGAGGTTCTCGGTTCAATCAACTCGCCCCGCAAAACTAAAGGCTTATCTTAAATGTGTGTTACTTGCCTTTTGTTTTTTGTTGTACTTGCCGTGTCACTCCATTGGGGGAAGGACGGTCTTCCTTTTTCAAGTTGTTGCCGCAACTGAGCAGCCAGACTACCGCTGGCTGGTCTGTGTGCTGAGCTAGTTAGCCCCAGCTAACACCCCCACCTTCACTCACTAGCTGGGTGAAGTTACTTTCCACAGAAGCAACTCCAAAAGTCCAGTGAGTACGACTCGAGTTGTAAAGTCTGACAGGAGCACAAAGGAAGAAACCTCCTCTCTCTTCTATCCACCGTCAGTCAACCTCGACAAGTCTTGTATTTAGTTCTTTTTTCCGTGATTTTCTTTGGGGTTAGATGTGTCCCACACACACACACACGGTTTACCTTCTTGGTGTCACTCACAAAGTCTCTTCCACAAAACAAAGTTGAGTATGTGTCGTGAACGCGCCACGGGCAAAGCAAGCTGTGGTTGTCAATCAAAAGATAATTATTTATTTATTTTACCGGCAGACAAGAAACGCCCCCCCTTTTTTTTTTTTTTTTACTTTTCTGCAGAGCAAATAATGCCACACATAGTTTTGATTTTATTTATTTCAAATAGCCTAGACACATAAATATATAGGCTATATAAAAAATGTATATTCCAAGGATGACAAGGTTGTAAGGGGTTACTTTAAAAATGTCAGGCAGTAACCTAATCTAAGTATCACATTATTAAAGTAAGGTAACTACTTTTCCATTACTTTACCTCCACACCGAATAGGCTGTGCAAATAAAGAGGAGAATAATGTCAATAAGAAGTGTTGGTTAAACTGTATCAAATGAGACAACAGGACAATGTAACCCTTTAACCAGCAGCCAAAACCAACAGATATTAGTTCTCCTTCATACCCTCTGCTATTTATCTGCTCAGCTCTTTATAATATGGGTAACATCAGCACATCTCCAACCATTCCTGTTCTGTCACTAATGGGTTACCTGTTATTTTTATGTGGTTATGTATGGGTGGCTGCTCCCTGTTTATCCATATTTCTCTCCCTGTGCTGCTGTCATTGTTGTTGTTGTTGTGTTACATGCTGCTGTAATATTAATTGCCCCTCGGGGAAAAATAAAGGTCTTGAACTTTGAAAAATGGAAACCCAAAAAACGGAAAGATTTTTAGCATGAAAAGTGTCCTCCTTAAAAACTGATTTTAAAATTGTAACCCTGCTAAATAATCCCCATGTTTTACTAAATGTAACTCTACAACCTTTCTTCTTGTTCTTCTCTATATTATAAATAAAGCTTCTTTTGACATTAGCTTTATGCAGAAGCTACATATGTGGTCTCTAAAGGCCAGCATTATCTCCCAGATAGGCTCACATGACAGTTGTTTTTTTTTTTTTTGTTTACAGTCACGTTGTATGTCAGGTCTTCCTCTTTATGAGAACAGATCCCAATGATAATAAGTAATACTTAGCATTTTGTGTGCTGTTGCATCCAGGGTTTTTCTTTTGTGAGAACAACACACACAGTAACCTATGTGTGACCAAACAGAGTCATCACAAATCATCAATTCTTGGAGATGACCAAGAGCTTTGAAATATCACTCACACATTGTAGAGCACATACCTTACATGTAGTTCAGATAGCCTCATACTATAGTATCCCGCATAAGAGACGCAGATAGTGAGTGATGAGGCATGACATTGTTCTACATGATTTAATGCATTTTATTCATAGGCCACTGGTTCAGATGAAGGAAGATACAGTGTGTGGTATACAGGAGCAGGCAGTACAGTGAATTGTAGGACAGAGCCATCTGCTGGTCTCCAAGAGTTATGCTTTTTTTTGGGTTGTTGTGCAGTGCAGATTTTCTTATTATCCTGTTTAAGTCTTCTTCTGACATTACAGTGCCAGTCAAAGTTAAATTTTTTAGGCACATTCTAATATCTATGGCAGTTTTTTTGGCCTGTGACCCCTCAAAACATGCAATGTCTACTTGTGACCCCTGGCTGCCCGTTGTGCATATGTCTCCATGTTGTGAAAACTTCAACTAAGGAGTGTTTTTTTTTCTGTATTTAAATTTAGAGGCCTGAAGAGGCATAAGTCTGAAAAAATAAGCTATTTCTGGTTCCTGTCCTGTTAACTTACTTGCAACCGTTAAGATTCATCATACAACCCCTTGTTGGGGGGTCATTGTGACACAATTATATAGCACAGTTGTTAATTTATTAAATGGTGATATTTAAAGAAATACCAATTGCACTGCAGTCTTGACAGCAAATGGTTCAAGCTGATGAAGATACCAGTGCTGTGGAGATTTTTTACCCTACTTGAATTCATGCATCATTAATGTTTGTTATATCAGCATGAACAAGGGTAGCTGTATGAATTATATGCCTAGATATACTGTAGCACACAGTGGTTTTACCAAAGCCTTTTCACTAAAAACCGCTGTCTGTCGCTGCTGGAAAAGTCACTAATGAGAGTGATCTACAACAGCTGAGGGCTGTAAAAGCAAAACAATGAGCTGAAAGACTCTAAAGAGGGGGATTTTCTGAAATGAGCCATTCCTTTTCACGTTATACATAATACGTAATTTGACCCATTGTTAATATATAATCTTGATTAGTGCAGCTTTAACATTGGACAGGTTGATAGCCACTCAAAAAAGCAATCTGTGACATTTACACACTGAAGCAAAGATGAGCATCAGGTGGTTCATCTAGTGTTTGAAGTGGAATAATCTTGTTGCTTTTAGTCTATACGGTGAAAATAAATTGTTGGTGAAGTGATGTTAGTGGCACTGTGTCACAGTCAACCTGACAAACATGATCAGCGTGTCTGAAAAATACAGTATGCTCTCCAACTCCGCTGAATGTTTTTAGTAGTTTTCTATACTTCACCATACAGATGGATAAAATCATGAGATATAACAATACTGATTCAAGCTTTAATATCAAAGGCACAGCTCACAGTTGAAATGTAGGAAAAGTGGACAATAAATTGACCCTCTATATATGTAAAGTCAAACCTTTCTTCAGTTATAATGAAAGAGTTACTTGTAAAGCACATGCATTTATACTCCAACTAGACATTTGCCACTGGACATTGTCACAACCATGTTATATCGAGAGCTGAATCACATCCAATTGCCAAACTAAAGCATTGAGATTTTTCACTTTCATTTTAATGTAGTCCTTATATGACTATAGTTGTGATATATATTGATATTTATATAACACATTCTGCAATTCATAATGATTAGAAGAACATATCCCCCTAAATATATGACAAGGCCCTGCAGGTTAAGTGTAACACTGGGAATATTTCTCAAAACTCTGATGAAGAGGTTTTGATTAGAGGTGAATATTTGAAACACACACATTCCAAAACAAAGCCTTTAACTGAAGGCAATCAATACTTAACCAGATCTTTCCAGACACATGTTCTTTGCTTGTGTCGTGGCTATAAGCTAACACAACTAAATGTATCACGTCACAGTTAGAATATCATTGTGTCATAGATAGAATGACAGAGAACCAAACAAAGATGTAAATAGTGTGGACATTTTAAATCAATTTAAAGAGCTTATCTTTATGCTATTGGAATGATTTCATTGTGGCATTTGCATGAAGCAGGACACCACACATTCACCAGGGCATTGCTGCATCCAGTCGTGTTTTTCAAGGTTGGACAGTTGATGTATTTGTTTATGTAAGGACAGGGGTTGGCTGAAATGAAGAACAGACAAAACAATGAAGAGATTATCTTCTTTTTTTTTTACCTTGATAGACAATCCTTGTAATATACACCCTAGCTGTCATACAAAGAACCCAGTGTGTATATGTTTACTTACTGCAGAGTTTGTCTTCACAGTTATTGGGACAGGAAGCACACGGGGGTCCAACCTTATAAGGTGGCCAACTCCTGAAGTTTCCTCTGTTAAACAAATTAGACACATGTCATTTTTTACCCAAATTAACTTGACTTCACACTAACCTCTGATTTAATAGATGGACAGATTCATAATTCATTTTATTGAACCACTGTTAAGCTCCCCCAGACATCACATGTGAAACGAAGTCATGGAGGGTAAATGAGGGTCACATACGCTCGATAGTAATGGCAGCCATAGAAATAGATGTTGTTAGGGCACAATGTCACTCCACATCCAACTTTGTAGGAGCTGTTCCACACCACCTGACAACAAAAACAAAAAGTAATTGTTTTCAGTGCCTCTTTAATTAGGAAACTGCTAAATAGTTAGGCTTCCTCATTGTTCAAACACTGTAATGAATCATTTTAAATTCATTTTTTAAAATATCTCATTATTGTCAGCTCTTAAACACCTGGATAATAAATTTGGTTGTATAGGTTTACTCGTAGTGAAAGTGTAAAAATTGATTTTAAAAAGTGCCTGTTTGTTTTTGCTAAAAAAACATAAATATATTTTCACAAAACACAATACTGACTAATGAATAATATTCATGGTGGTACAATTACGGCTTTTTAAAAAACGGTATCTCTCCAATTTGTTTTAAAGAATATGAATCCTTTGGTGAAAGTAGGATTTGTCACACTCTTTTTGGTAATTCACCATAAAATGAATATTTATGAACAGGAAAAAGGCTTCTTAAATGTCATTAAATAAATAAATATCATGCAGCAAGATAAAGATAAAATACACCACCGGTAAAGCGTAGAGGGAATATGAGTCCTTAGGACTTGCGATGACCCTGCCATAACTAACTAACTTTTGGGCACTTGTGGGTAGTAGAAACAAACATTGACCATCATCTTTTAAGTTGATATGTTGAATTTCTTAGTAAACAGTTTCTTATTTACACATCTAGCAGATATGGAGCAACATTAGCATGTATTTGGAGTCTTGTGTCTGGTTGCTGCAAGTCTAATATTCACTCTCATTTTATCTAATTTACTCCTCAGAGAAATGGCTTTAGCGGCTAAATGCTCTATGTTGTTTGCTTTGTTGTAGACCTTTTTCACTGAAAACAGCGGCCTCTTGCAGCTGAAAACATTGCTATGAGATCAGTCAGAGTGTACCAAAACAGTAAAGTTACGGGACGAAAAACAAAAACAATGAGCTGAAAGGCACTAAATCGCTCTGTAGAGCTGAAGGGAGTTTTTTTTTCATGTACAAGTAGTCATTTGATCCATTGTTAGTATAAACATATTGATTATACGTAGCTGCTTTCCAATATCCAATAACAAAGCATCAACACTGCGTGACAATATAGCAACATACTTTTTGTTTATCTTAAAGAAAACACAATAATCTTTGTCAACACGTTATTTTTACCATAGCAACAGGTAAATGTTACCTGTGTGTAGTGACCAGTAGTTTGGCCGTTGGTGGAGCCACTGGGATACTTGTAGTGTGACACCTCACTGTGCCAGGCATTGATGACGTCCGTCCATGAGTAAGGTGAAGATGAATAGAACAGATTCTCACCCAATTCATATCCTGCTCGTTGGTGAGAAAAAAATGGCAGCACTGATTAATGGGTGTCTGCAAATACACAGTTTTATTTTCATGTCCCAGCAGATTAAGTTATTAAGATAAAACATTGTTTCTATAAAAGGCCTATCGATGATAATCTCTGTTGTGATAACATATCCCACTTCCTTGTAATTTGTTATTAAAATAAGGTATTAAGACTGGAGATAAGATAATGTTCACTGTTACTCTGACCATCAATCACAAGGTCAGTCAGTTCACAGGAAACCTTTACACTGACTTGACATCTCTGAGGTATTATTTTAGGTCCTGGCGTATGCAGAGAAAAGGTAAAAGGGAAACAGAAAAGAGGGAGAAGGAATAAAGGACGAAAAAATATACCATTGAGCATGCGGGTACTGGGTGCTCCATGAGCCAGAACACATTTGTCAACCCAGGCCTGAGCACTGGCTGCTACCTCCTCACTATAGTTCTGTAAGAGAGAAAAAAAGAAAAAAAGATCAAATCAAAGAGTTTCATTTCAAACTGGCATCCACAATGTAGACCCATTCTCTCTCAAGGTATTGGTTTTGAAAACTGTATCCTTTGTGATTTGAAAGACTGATGAAATTTTTCAAAATATGTTCAACTCTAACTCTTAAAATATGAAAAGGTTGTGGTTGAAATAGTCGTCCTCTTTGAAACTAGTTGGTGTGCTTTTCTTTATACAGCCCAAACTGGATTCCAAGATAAATATGAGATTTTTCTTTTTACTTTTTTGCAGAAACCTTACACCTCCAGACATCCAGCTTTTTTGGAAAGGACATAAATCATCTTTATTCTCTTGTTGACTGACAGATTTTCATGTGTACAATAGATTTGTAGTGGTTGGGCTTGGCTCCCTACATTAAATAGATTAGAAGTTTGATTAGATGTTGATTAATGAAATAAATTACCACTCTTATTACTTTTCACTAAACTGTAATAAATATAAAAATGACATTTTAGAGTGATTATATTTGTCTATTACAGACCAAACAGTAGTCAAAACCTATTTTCACATTCCAAATGGCATTTATACATCATTTGTAACATCTACAATTTATGGTTTTGACCCGTTTGACTATTCGAGGAAGTTCAGTGCATCGATTAAGTCTGAGTCACCTCTTAATCATCAAACTATAGAACCCCGATTTTGAAAAGCTGCTTATGACTTTTATGATTTTCAGGCGTCGTGCAGAAGACCTCACCCACTTTATTGTTTTATTCCTTCCCACAGATTAGGGAAAATAAATGCTGAGAACTATTAGCAAATATTATCTGACCCACTTTTATTGTGCGACTAGAAAGCAGGACTGACCATTATCAGCATGTCAGAAGCAGTAGGCTGAACCGCTCTCCTGAAGGCATTGTGCCTGTCAACGATCTCAGCCTGTACCGCTGTGTTTTCTGTGCAAATGTCTGCACGCACAAAGACACACACAGACACACACAGACATAGACACACACTTAAAACCAATGGGTAAACAACAGATTAAGAGCATAATAAAGAGTGATATTTACTCTGGTGGATTAATATCAACGATATGACTCACAAAACATATCCTGGTTTAATTACTCTGAAATTGCTTGACATAACAAAAGAACATACAGAATGAATTGTGCCAAATCCCATAATCTTATTGAGAAACTTATTGGTATGGTCTCGGAGGGGCTGGAAAATTACTCTGTAAAGTTAAACATGCCTGATGAACATTGTGCTTACCTTGCTGTGGAGACACCATGGCATGCAGAAAATCACATAAAAGATAAAAATGTAAGTTCTCATCAGTAAATCAGGAGAGTGAAAAATAGTCAAATGCTTTACTTTTTTAGAAGTTTTTGTACAGCAATGTAAATACACTACATTAAGAGCAAAGTCAGGTATTGGAAATGTTACTTAACTTAGATAAAATGTAACTTTACTTGAAACTAAAGCAAATTTACTTTCCAGCCTACACTTACTGTACGTATACCATATCGTATTACCACGTCCTATAATATTCTAAAACTTGTTTACACTTCTACTCACCACAACGCAGGCAGAGTGCACATGATGCAGTGTCAGGATGCAAATCAGGACTGCAAACATTTTGCTGTACAAAAAGGTAGAGATGCCTATGTACAGTGAAGATAAAAAACAAAATAAAATTACTGAAAAATACTTTTCCCATGATATTTGTTCCAGTTTTATTATTATTATTATTATTAATATTATTAGTAGTATGTTATATTAAGTTATTTTTATTTCGATTAATCTTTCCATTTTGAAATTGAACGTCAATTAAAAAGTAAAAAAGAAAATATATAAATAAGTAAAAGAAAGCATTAAATGAAAACATACAGTTTAAAAAAGGAAAGTGTTGCTATTGGCTGTGTTCCCCCTCTTGAGTGCTAGATATTTTCCTTAAATTAATTAATGCGTATCATCAAAAGATATTAAAAAAAATTCTTGAATGCGTTTAGGAACCTCTAAAATGAGAGGCATACCTGCTCATTGGTCTTCAGGAGGTGGAGGTGAGTTGGCACTTTCGTCTTCCTCCTTTTATAGACCCAGCTCAGATACTCACTATAGTCTGAGATGAAGCACATTCCCCTCTGGCTGCCAATGATGGTGCAGTATCCAGGGCTTTACACAATGAATACTGGACAAAAACAAGTCTATCAAGCAGCACTGAAGAGGCTTTTTCTTCAAAAGAGTACAACTGACAGAGAGTAAACAAGGAATTGTTAAGCCCTAGGGTGTAGTGACTTCTAGATGTGTTGGCTCAGGTTTACACAGCATAGAATAGAAAGGTGCACGAGGCCAAGGTAAATAAAAGAAAAGGAGCATTGGTAGATTACAAGATAGATCCGTATGGTCCTGTATGTAAATGGATTACACTAATACAGCTCATGTGGGCTGAAGACGCACCCATTGCTTGCTTTGGCTTAAAGAGCAAATTAATCAGAAAGGTGATGCTAACCAACAATAGGTGAAAGGAAAATTTTTTATGCATTTTCCCATATTTTAGTTTCAGTGATGTGTATCATCATGAACAGTAGATCTGTGTGTGTCGCTCTTGCCCGTTTCCTTACATAAAGCAAACACAGAAAGATGCAGAAAGGTTGTCTTTGAAACAGTAGCACAAGCTCTGATGTGAAATGTGAGATAACATATCTTAAATGTTATATAACCAAGAAATGAAATGTAGGACTTGGAAAGGTTATTTTAAGTCATTAAACAAAAGGGATCATTTGAATGAGGAAGAACATAACTTTCAAATGAATAAATTCAATTGTGCTACACTGAAAAACCATGTTATGAAAACTTTTGAACTGTTCGTTGAGTCTTTCCTTGGAAAAATCTTAAAAACAAGGTATTTAAAGCTGCTCTAATCAATATTACTATATCAACAATGGATAAAATGACCATGTGTAATGCAAAACTGTTGCTCATACTGAAAAACCCAGAGAATTATCGCTCATTTGCAACATTTTAGTGTCTTTCAGCTCATTGGTTTGGGTTTTGGTTCACTCTCAATCAACCTTGTTTCCTGCCTTAGAAAGGAGCTGTTTTAAAAGAAAAACATTCTAATAACCCTACTGTACACTACTTCCCAGCACCACATGGAACATAGAACATTGTAAAGACCAAAGACAGAGCTAAAAGAAGATTTAATATTCTGGCTTACATTTACATCAGGAGGCTTGACCTACAAATCCAAATGCATGTTAATGTTTCTCTGTGTCAGCTAAGCAACCGTTTGCTAATACATTAGGCACAACAATGTTATATGGTGATAATATGTTAATGTAAAATAAATTAATGCTAGATAAAATCTAATCTAAATTACAAGATTGCCAAGAATCTTTCATTTATATTATTTGGACATTCTAAATACAGTACAGTACATGGAGTAGTATTTATATTTTAATTTTAAAATTATTTCCTGGAAGCAAAAGGAAGGATTATGTAGTTTGTCTATAGATTAAATAAGAAACCACTTGAATTGCTGATATACTGAAACTACGTGTGAGCAAAGTAGAATTTTATCTTTGGAGCGACCTTGTACGTTCAGAACATAACACATTCCTCTCTGTTGATTCTTGATTATGAGTCTAAATGCACAATAAGCATTATGCTCCTATCACCTCTTTGCTAAATGCATCATTGTGTCATTTGTTATACAGTACAATGGGTCATGGGAGTCAAACAGTCTCAGTAGTCAAAGAGTTCTACTTGAGCATGTCTCATGTTTTTCATGTTTTTTCGGTCTTATGAACTATACAGAGATTAATTTCAGAAACCTTTTCTTCTATTATTTTCACCATTGTGTAACAGTATCCTGAGCAATATGACTGTGAGTATACACTCCTTATAGTAAAAAAACATTGTGTCACTACTGCTACATCAGAAACCCAATCAAAGGTCCAGTGTGTAACATTTAGGAGGATCTATTGGCAGAAATGTAATAACATTTTCATAGGTATGTTTAGTGTATTAGTGTATAATCACCTGGAAATAGGAATCGTTGTATTTTTTTTTTTACCCTAAAATGACTTCTTTTTATCTACAGAGGGAGCTGGTCCTATTTGCCAGAGGCCACCTTGTTAAACCGCCATGTCTACAGTAGCCCAGAATGGACAAACAAAACACTGGCTCTAGAGAGGGTCTTTTTTGTTTTCCTACATGCTTGGAAGGTAAGTGGTATTTAGTTAGCTGCAATTTGGTAACTTCACCGCTAGATGCCGCTAAATCCTACAAACTGGTCTTTTAGATGCTGAATTTTCCATCTGCAAAATTTCTGTCTTTTCTCTGTTTAATTCACCTGTTTAAATGAAAACTGAGTAAAAGTGTTCAGATTTAACCAAAATGAAAAACAAGAATAGGGATCTACAGAGACTCTAGCTGCTCTGTGAGACTTTGTACTTTGGTGCAGCTATTAGCTAAATGCTAAGATCAGCTATCATGCTGGCGTGTAGATGTTTAGCATCTTAGTTTATTGTATTGTATTGTATTACTGTATTAATCCCACAACGGGGAAATTCCCCACAGCAGCATTTTACGTGAAATAAATAAATTCAGATATAAAAAATAAAAAAACATGGTAAAGTGGTAAAGCTATGGTATGGTGGTAATTTGAAAAACAGAAACTACAACATTGATCAGGTGTTGCAGACAGCAACAGGTATGAAAGACCTGTGGAACCTCTCCTTCCTACACAAATTGTGAGTTATCTAATAAAGCTACAATGTGTGTGAACCCAGCTCCATATTAAGTGTAAAGTAGCAGTACAATACGAAATGCAAACTGCAGTCAGTTTGCTCTCCACTGTCAACAGACTATGCAATGATGGATATCTTGGGTGTAGTACTTTATGTACCAATGGCTTTGTATACATTCAGATTATGGTTTTCTTGGAACAAAAACTCTTACTATTGTATAAGAGTGAAGGCACACCATTTAAAGTAATAGTAGCCATTAAAGAACAAAATGCTAGACAGCCCTTAGTGCAGCTATAGGTGGACACCCCGGGCAGAAAACTGACAGCCTAATGCAGCATGGTTTGGTGGAAATTATGTGAGAAAAGGTTAAAATCTGTAGTTGGAATCTTTTCTTGTTCACTCCTGTTGCTTATTTCAGGTATCTAATCATTGGGAAAAGAAAAAAAAACACCACTGAATGCACACTGCCCAAGAGTCATTCAGCTGACATGTTCTATTTAAAAAGCAAATGAATAATACAATAGGTGTATTGATTCGAAAAACTTAAATTATAAAGTAGTTTTAGCTTCATACTTTCACCATAATTATGTAAATAAATGCTATGTTGCAAACTTTGAGACATTTGACATAAAAAGACAATATATGCACACAGATAGAGGAATCTCTTGTTAAAAGTTATTTTGTGCTAGTGCTAATGCTAGTCTTTAGTCTCTTTGTATTTTACCACAGAATGCTAAATCTAATTTGCTAATCTACTTGATGTTTGTCCAAAACCACTTTCTCATTAATTCATTCATTACTGTCAGTGCCACATAACTATAATGTTCACATTTATCAAGGCATTGCAAACATTAAGTAAATTAGTGTATATGCTATGAATTCTGTTTTTCATTTCATTGTGGGAACACTATAGTGCAGACATTTTACACTGAAATGTGCACAGTCAACAAAATGGAGGAGAATTATTACAGTGCACAGGTAGCACATAAAGGGTAATTTAAGCCACAGTCTTACTTCAAGTTTCTGTTTTGTATCTGATGTGTAATTCACCAATTGAGTTTAATAAAAAAACAAAACAAAATCACAGTCTATCTGAAACAGATTTTATGATTTTCTCTTGGAAATAGCCCCCTAGTCAAGTAGTTATTTATTTTTTTCAATTATTGGTTAATCACACAGGAACATACATTCCAAACAAATGAATAAATATGACTGTAAATGCACCAGAGTCAACCAAAAGGAACGCTAAAAAAGTATACAACATTAAAACAGTTATTGCAATAGGATATACACAGAGCAATAATAAAAAGGGGATGTTAATGTTATTAAAAAGTTATTCAAAAAAAAAAAACACAATAAAAAATAGGCCACAATAAAAGACAATGTGTGTTCATGTTTGACTAATTTCAAAAAGCTCACTTTCCACACTGAACACTGGGGGGCAATGTCACATCTCTAGTCACAAAGGAGCTATGGTGGCAGCTGAAGTCCAATGACAAAACACAAGTGTGCTCTTTGTATCAAACCATAGACCTTGTGATTGAACAATGTTATTATTTTACAGCAGAATGGAGAGACTCATTTAGGTTCCCTCAATAATATGTTTTGTTCCACTCACACTTCCATCCAATCATCTGTTGTCCTCATTCACTCATGAAAGACGGATGCTTACCAGCTTGCACAAATACTATGCTTGGCTGCCCATCTTTATAACTCGTCTCACATTAGTTGTCCCATTTCAGTTGTCCTACAGTTCTCCAGCGGGAAAATATCAGCCATTCAGCAGCGTGCCCTTTGTCGCTGTTTTAGGAGTAAGGTCAAGTTTCCACAGAACACTAAACACGCACAATTTGGACCTAAACAATAAACCCACTGAAGTGTACGATTTTGATTTTTTTTATCACATTTGTATGTTTTTCAATTCTTGGCATGTGTTGTAGCTAGCATCCAAAGCTAAAGCATGTTGGCAATTACACTGTGGGTGATCGTTACGGTCATTCAAGCCTCAACGCCAGTTAGGATGGCTTCAGCATTTTGGCATGTGTTTGATTTCACTCAGTGTAAAGGGTTGAAAAACCAGTCAAGCATCCACCCAACGTTAACAATTTCACTTTCTTTTGTTATTTAATTCCAATCTCTGGTCACTCCATGGGTCCTTCAAAGATATGATTTGCCCGAATGACTCTTTCCCTTCCAGCCCTGAACCTTTTTCACTTGAAGGTGGTCTGGTGCTGAAAAATGCCCTTCCAAAAGCAGACACACGTTGCCGAGCTCTAGATACGTGTTGGCAGTTTCCACTCGTGCTTTCAGAAAGGGTGATTAAAGTCTAATGGGGCTCCTGGTGTGACAGCAAACAGAGGCAGGAAATCGCCATTTTTAAAAGAGACATATCATTAATTTGCGGCCTCGAGTTAGATTCTCGTAACAATGTCTGAGCGACACAATGAGGGCTCTCTTTGAAAAGGCTGCTACCACCCTGGCAAATGAGTGAGTGAATCCCCTAACAGGCTAAAAATGATTTCAGAAGAGCTCAATGTCACGATCACACTGTGTAGGGCGAGTAAGTCTAATCACAGTACATGGAGCTCTTCATCAGTAATTATGGCAACTCATCAAAAACTAACTCATCCTTAGTCTCTGGGTATTCAGCTTTTGGTATTCCTCAGCCTATGAACATCATTTCTATTTGCATTTCATCATTTGACTCAATCTACGCTTTTTAGATATTTACCGCATTTGAGGAGGATATGCTTTCAGTCATATTTTTTGTTAAAGACAATTAGATACAATTTTTTTTTATTATTTTAAGGGTTTCTTGACATTGTGACATAGAGCTTAAAAACATTTTCACAATTATTTTGCTTATAAAGGAAAGAATATAGTTAAATGTATTAGATAACTGTCTTTGTGTTATGATGTATATGTTGACTAGATGTAGATGTTGACTAGAGTCAGTGGTCACACAAGCAGCTCTGTTAGGTTGTATTTACTGTAGATACAGCTGTGCTGTGAGCCAAATGCTAACATGGGCAAGCTAACATGCTCACCGTGACAGTGCCAACATGCTTTGCGGGTATAATGTATAGCATGTTCCCCATCTTATGCTAATTAGAACTAATCACAACACAGCTGAGGCTGATAGGAATGTCATTAGTTCTGCAAGTATTTAGTCATAAACCAAAATATTCTAAATGAAAAATTTGACTTGATGAACAGATGAAAACTCGTGGATCACCAAACCTGTTAGCATTCATTTGCTGGGGATCACAAATGGCTGCACAAAATTGGCAATCTATCCAACAGACTGGACTAGACCAAAGTTGTAGTCAGGCAGAATATTTTCTGTATAACAGCTGTGAATTGCTGTAAACAGCACTTTTTCTCCATAGCTTTCTCATCATCCTCTAGAAATAGATGCCAAGGTCAAGATTGTCACTATTGGCAAAGATCCTCATTCAGCACCTATTCTGAATCAGAGATCAGGCCACGTCTTCCTGGAATGGAACCTAATGGATTGTGGCAAAATAAATAAATAAATAAATAAATAAATAATCTCTCTCTTTATTGTCTTTGTCAATATCTGTGACAGCAGGCGGCAGAAAGATGAGATTCAAACTGAACATGCTGCAGTCAAGTTCAGATAAACCTTGGTGAATGTCCCTTTTCTTTCATTTGTTTTGTTTGATTCCCTTCAAGCCCAAGTTTTTCACTCCTTTGAAAATGTAAACCAGCCCCTTGGTCAACCCACACCTTACCCAGCAGGATCCAGTCCAAGCCTCTTTCCACACACAAGGGTCAGTGTGTCACACGTACTCTCTTTGCAACAAAACAGTTGTCACATGTTATCGTCATCACGCTTTTCCAAATATTTTTTTTTGTTTTTTTGGCCGCTTGGGAGCAGTAAGGTAATATTATTTAACAATTACCTATTTACAGCAGATACGGAGCAAAATTTGTATTCATTTAGAGTTGTGTTTCTGGCCATCTGATTAATGTATGTCCACTAATTACTCTCCTATTAACTTTGTTTTGGTCTCCACGAACTCCTGAGGAAAATCCTGGTTCTTTAGCTGTTGAATGCTCCACTGAGTCTCCAAGCTTATTCCTAACTTTGTTTGACCAACATTTAGTGCTGGGCAAGTAGGGTACAATGAATTTCTTCAGATGTTTTTCACTGAAAACAGCTGTGTGGCTGAAAATGATGCCATGAGAGCAGTGGGAGTGAACCAGAACAGTAGAACAAAACTAAATAAACAGTGAGCAGAAAACACACTAAATGCTTGGTAGAACTGAGGGGAACTGCAGATTTGGGTGATGATTCACATTGCAAGAGACCACTTTTACATATCATGTGTATCCACTGCTAATTTTAAAATATTGATTGTAGTTGCTGGAAGTTACCTTAAAATCTGAAATGCTGAGAAATACTCAACGATCAGACTGTGGTGTACAAATTCTGTACACCACAGTCAGCACAAAATGCCCAAGGGTCAAGCCATACAGTCATTTACTGTACCCATCAATAGATTTTAGAGAGTTAATGGTACAGACAGACAGTGATGGAAACTTCTTCTCTAATGTCAGCAGTGATGTAGATTTCTGTTTGCTTCCGGGCAAAACTCTGTACCAACATGGATCTCTGCTGTTGTTGTTGTTGTTGTTGTTGTTGTTGTTGTTGTTGTTGTTGTTCAGGTAGTAGTAGTTGTTGTAGCAGTGGAAATCACAGTTTTTATATCAGAGTGGTATGTCAAGTCTTGTGTTTCTCCAGAGTGATGGTCCCTCATAAACTGGCTTAAATAATAAATAAAGAGCTATAGGGGGGTCCTGACCCGGACATATTAAATATGCATAACCACAACACAGGAGTGAAGTACTGAGAATCACACACACACACACACACATCTGTCTGTATTCAACAAAACACTATTTTAAGTCAAAGTCAAAGTCAGCAGCTCCCAAAAACACTGTGCCACAGTGTGCCCGTGTGAATGTGTGCATGTGCATTGACTATGTGGCACATCATTCTGCTGCCTTCTTTCTACTTCTCTCCATCTCTCTCTCTCTCTCTCAAATGAACTATTGATTACTATTTCTGTCCACCCATCTTTCTTTAGTCCTTCACCCCCTAAACAACACCCACCACCCTCGCTTCTCCTTTTCCCTCTTCTCCCTCTCTCTAACTCTGGTATTTCCCAGCGAAGCCCCCTTCCCCACCTCCCCTCTGTCACCCACCCACCCCTCCTCCCTCCTTCCCTCTTCCTCTCCCACCCCTCTTTTCTCCCCCTCCTCTCCTCAGATGGATTCTTCAGTCAACGGAGTGGAACTGGTGCGACTGCTGGAGAGATAGGCAGAGAGGCAGAGAGAGGCTGTGCTG